TAAACTGCATGGCGAGGAAATGAACTGACGTAGTAATTTTTGTTCGCATTCATATTCACTGATCTCTTGGAACTTCGTAGACGATAATTAAAGTTCAAACACGTAAAAATACCGAACTAGATGTTATTTTAAATAAAGCCGTGAACCCTGGACTGGCAGTGGAAGAACTCCAGAATGGATGCTGCGTAGCGGAACCAGAGTATACGCGTGCAGTTAAGCGACCATCGACCATGTCGGGCACATGGCTTGCGGGAAGTTATTTTTTGCACACAAGAACGACTTCCCCAAGCTGATAGCGATCGCTTCTGTTGTTGGTAGCAGGCGCGCACCCAGGGACCTTGAATATTCTAGTGGAGCCTTATAAATCGGCCGATGACAGGTATAAAAATGTGGGCGAGAATGGCGCTTTTCATGCTCCCGACTTCACATTTGCACAAGCCCACCGGGAAATGTTCCAGTAGTCTTTTGCTACGGGCAAAACCTCTTCCACAAGCACAAGTAAATGAGTAGGTGCATACAGAGGTGGTCTGAGCTGACAACCCTTCCTTACCATTCTCGTGCAAGACCGGTATTTTATCCAGGAGAAGACCGAAACATGATATAAAACCAGCCCCGATAACGGCAGCAATAGTAACTATCGAGCGTAAGGAACGCCGGAGACCCAAATCTAGATTTGAGGATCGATGAACAACAGTTTTAATGGGGGTATTATTAGCTACTTGAGAAGGAAATGAAGAGTTGAATGACTTACGGTCAGTCGAATGTGGTGGCATTACACTGATGTCCAAACCGGTGTACACAAGTGATTGCTTGGCAGGAATTCTTCCCAAAACTATGTAATACGCAACTCAGAGTGGATGGACTGACCAAGTTCATCGCCGTTACTGTTCGGCAGGGAAGTTCTCAAGATAAGATGTCTAGTAACTACACGGACACTGACAGTGGTCGTCCTCTGACTCATAGGTGTGGTGGTGTCACCAGAATCTGTCAGTCGTGGATGAACCTGAAACTGGAGCAGATGACTTCGGACTCCGAGTACTGAGAGGACTCCGGCGGTTAGGGGCTCGAGAAGCCCGAACCTGGGAAACTTGAACGATGAGGGCATCCATGCGTCTTACGACGTCATCGATGGAAGGTGTCGTTACGGCACCAGTAGAAACATAAACCGAGGGAGGCGGTTGGTGGTACCCGATTATACGATCAGCAGTCCCGACGAGCATTTGAACAAATCGGGGAAGGGATATTATGAACATGGATAGCTTGAACTGAGGAGGGTAGCCGCTTGAACATGGTGTTGTCCAGCTTTTTTTCATCAGCTAGTTGCTTCAGGCGTCTAAAAAACTGCGTGGGCTTCCTACCACCGATCCCCTCATCGAAAATCAAGCGCTGGAGACGTTTTGGGATGATAGGGAGGGATGGGAGATGAGAGCCTCCCTTAGCTTCTGTGTGTGGATTGTCGATTATATAGCAGAGGTAGGTAGCAATCTCCAGTGCATCCATGAGGTAATGAAACTTCATATCCTCCCTCATAATCTGCCGCAGGCAAAAGGTGATTCCATGCAATTAGACGCGATATCAAACGCGTGAACGCTGTCGGGCAAATTCGCTTGTCATGATTAGACAATGTGGGTCAAATTTCAAATAATAAAACTACATGACTGGCTCGTTCACGGGGCGGATAAACGATAATCCTTACACCGGTTGAAGTGATAAGGCCGCGTAAATGACAAAAAGAAGCTGGCGACAATTGTACGGCCAATGAAAAGAAAGGGAAAGGAGATGAATGGAAATTGTTGCGCAGGTAAATAGGCCTGAAGGGGCTATGAGCGAGAGGGAGTCATCTATTTAGGAAATGAGTCTGTCTAGCTTTGTATGGAAGATATAAAAACCCTAAACTATATGAACCGGTAAAATGAGAAGAATGTTACTAATAACAGCGGATACCACAAGGTCATGGTATTCTATTTCAAGGTTGTGACATGTTAATAAGTTCGCATATTTTAACTCCATAATTCATACTGCATTTTATTTATCATTTAAAAACGGGTATGTTAACCAGAAAGCAAATAGGGAAAACTAGGGGACGCACTGATGAGCCGGATCCCATACAGCTGTGTCAAGCAGCGGCAGAATACCGGTTAAGCACGTGTCTTCACCTTTAGCTAGACTTGGGCTGCTAGTATGGTAAGTTACAACATCAAAATATTTTGCGACTGTCTGCTTGTTAGCAGCATATGCACATTACGCAGGGGTGGATGGGGTTCAGTCCGAATATACACATACGATTTCGGTTTATGGCTATGGACCTTAAATAAACTGATTTATACCGCAAGCAGAAAGTAAAAAGCTGAAGTCCTTTAATGTCGCTGTAGGTTGATTTGTAGTCAATCCAAGGCGTTCTTTAGGATGCCGTTTTAACGTCGTTTTTCCTCATGATCAATGGCCATCCACAGTGCCATCGCTGTAGAAGAAGCATTGCGTTAGTCGCTTGTCCTCCATCCTCAACAGCTAGCCTTTCCATCGTAAATGTATTTGCTCTAGTACAGCGGGGATGCTGGGTACTCCGGCTCGCTCCGGGAATTCCGTCCCTGGTAGCCGATCGCGCTAACTCACTTTCAAAATTCTGCATCGACAGCTGACACGGAACTGCTTCAGACACGGGCTGGTTTGACGTAGATGTTCCAGACCTCCGTTCCGTAAAGTAGTATTTTCAGCATGACAGTAATGTACATCTTCAGTTTAGTGCTTAGTTGTACGCTGTGGTGAGTCAACACAGAGGCTGGCAAATGAACAAAGATCTGGCTGATTTCGGAAATCCGGTGCGCAACTTAGACATCGATTCTGGCGTTGCCCCGAAGTGTGCTTCCAAGATAAGATAATTGTCCTACCGTTTGAGTCGGGGGGCGCTGAGATTGGCGTAAGAAGTGTTTTCATACACACTGAGTGATCGTTGCTGCATGACTACGGCTTCCTCCATGTTAATTTTCATGCCAAAAGTTTGCACGGCTGTTGACGAAGATGTACCTGCTCCTATGTATGTCCTGTTTCGTCAATATTTTAAGGGCTCAGTCGTTCGCGAAGAGCAGGTCGTGGACTGTAGCCGTGTAAACAAGTGTTGGTGTCTTCGTACACTGCTTATTGAGAATGTGTTCGTCAGTTATATAAAGGATGCAGATTACGCGACGCTCATCGAGGACAGAGCCCATCACCATGGCAGAAAATATAAGAATCAAAAAGGTGGAACCGTGAACGCAGCTCTGCTGCATGCCGTTGGTCATTGTGAAGGTCTTGGATACCGACCTGTCATCAGTGACGCATGCAGTCCTCCCGTCTTGGTGCTGGCGCATCACGAGCTTGAAAGGCTCGTGAGAGCCAAATTTGCACATGTTTTGCCACAGTCCATCGCGAGTCATCGTGCCAAAGAGCTGCAACAGACCCAAGAATAGGATCAGCATCTCCTGGCGTTTCTCTTGTAGCTTGCGGGCGGTAAATGTCCTGTCTATTGTTCTGTGGGGTCGGCGGAACTCACATAACATTTTTGGAAGTATTCTCTCGGTATTATATGTACATCCAAGGAACATGGTCTAAGTGGCCGTTCAGATGGTGGAGAAGAATGCCTTCGAAGATATTCCCTGGGGTATTATAAGTAAATAACTTTAGGCCCGGGGGCCTCGTCATTTTAGCAGCAAGCAGCGAGTTTCCTCTGCGGTTATCACAGAGTTGCCGTTTCCCTTTTCACTTGTAGAGATGGACGATGGTCGCCAGCTTGAAATCTTGGGGCACCTGCATTTTGTGCCAAATCTCTTTCAATAGGATTATGATTTGTTCCATGAATGGATAGCCGCCGTGCTTGTAGATTTCTTATGGCACCGCTTCCCAGTAACTGATGGGAAAAGCTAAAGAACTTTAAAATTCCTTCACCATCTGTTACATTGGGTTCTTGTCATAATAAGTGTAGGAAGTTATTTATGAGGATTTCGAGTGATAATCTCTTTCGGTATTTTCTGTACGTCCAATGAACAGTTCTCGGCATGATCTCACACGTGCTATTGTAACGAACCACCCTGACCCTCGTTTGTTTTAATTGGTTTTTTTGGTTGCCTAGTTTCAATTTTGGTTTTACAGGAGAAGTTGCGGCTCGCGGTCGTCGTCCCATTCGTCGGATCCTTTCTACTCTTTCATTCCGTTCTCCTCCCACACGTTAAGTCTAACGTTTTTTATTACCCTTC